TCCTATGATGCTGCTTGGCCTGCTGTGTTCATCCAGCCCTGCACCTTATTATCTCTCTCTGATGACAGAACAGGCAATGACTTGTTGGGACTGTGGTGATTTTTATTTTCATGCTATCAAACTGTTATACTATTTGAAAATTATTGTTTTTGTCTCCGCAGGAATTAATTAAATGTGAAGCAATATTTTAGTTGTTTTTCCTTTTACCACAGAAATATGCATATCAATTTCTTCCTGCCCCAAGATAAGTCACAGTAATAATATAACTTCTGTCTTTTACTTTTAGAATTCCTTGTCCTTTATCGTTGATGGAAAGGAAGTTATATGGGACAGCAAACAAGGCTTTGTTATTCCCAGACCTACATACAAATTTATTGGTCTGCTGACATGTGAAACTAGTGTGAATGGCAAGACGTTTCGGTCTATTTATTTAACACACAGACAGGGTTAGTAGCTGCACTTCCTTTTGTTATTTGCTATTATTATAACTGGTCTATGTATATTCATTATATTGTACTTTAATATCCACAAGACAGATCTTTGCTGATGACTCAGCCACAAATATTGTGTGCTAGATAATTAGTGGTGACATCGTTGAGTAATATATAGCACAGAAAGAGGCATTCTGCCAGTCAAATCTATGCCAGCTCTCCATTGGAGGATTCCAGTCAGTCTCATTCCCCCGCTCTATCCCTGTAGTCCGAAAAATTTCTTTCCAAGTGCCTATCCAATTGTCTCTGCTTCTAGCAACTCTATGGATAAAAAATTCAAAATCATTATTGTTGTCTGCATGAAAAAAAATTCTTCTTCACATTCCCCTGCATCTCTTTCCCAAAGCCTTGAATCCAGTTCTGAAGAAGAGTCACTAGACCTGAAACATTAAGTTTGCTTTTTCTCCACAGATGCTTAGACCTGCTGAGTTTCTCCAGTAATTTCTGTTTCTATTGCAGATTTCCAGCATCTGCAGTTCTTTGTTTAATTTTGCCTTAAATTAATGTCCCCTTAGCCTGTACCATCAGATAACGGGAACATTTCTTCTTTATTTACTTTTGTCCAAATCTGTAATAATCTTGTACATCTCTGTCAAATCTCCCCAATCTCCTTTGTGTCAAGAAGAACAGTCCTAGTTTCTCCAACTTAACTTTGTAGTTAGTATTCCTCGTTTTGGGAAATCTCTGCAAACAGCTAAGAATCTTTGCAACCATTCTAAAATTGTTGACGAGAATTGAATGCAATACTCTAGTTGTGGCCTAATAACAGATTTATAAGGATTAAGTGAAACTTCCCTGCTTTTTAATTTGAAGGGTCTATATATGAAGCCTGAGATCTAAAGTGCTTTGCTACCCAGTCTGTCAATATATCCTTCAAAGATCAATGCCCACAAACCCTTGTGCCCATCATACACACTCTTTGGAACTATGTAATTAAGTATATATTGCCTCTCCCTATCCCTTATGCCATAAATACATAATCTCACACTTCTCTGTGTTACATTTCATTTGCTATTTGTCTGTCCATTCTGATAGCACGCTTTTTCATCGCTGCTGTGGATTCATATGATCCTTATTATTTGTCTCTCTTCCATGTTTGAGCAAATTTTGAAGATTCATCCTATCTCTTCATACCCATACATCTAAGACTTTTGAAACATCAACAAATCTCTCCTCCTTTATGATCTTTCTCCCTTCCTTATCCCCCTTCCCCCATGCAACCTAATAGCTGATAAGTTTTATTCTTCTTTTCTGCTGTATTGCTTGTGAATTGTGCAGTAAGTAAAGTTGGACTGGGTGACTTGATGATTAAGACCATAAGATCAAAAGAAACAGGAACAGGAGTAGGCTATTTGGCCCCTCAATGTACACTGACATCCAATTTAAGTTGAAAGGTTGTATCACATAACATTCCAAGTGTTAAAATTTGAAGCAATTGTCTGCTGGGCAGGACAACATTAAAAAAGAGATTTTTAAACATTTCAGTAATGTGTTTTTAGAAAGTATGATTGTAAAATTCATAAATTTCATTCCTTTAGGTGCAGCTGACTTGCTGGTCAAGTTATATATCTGTCAAATGTGTTACATAAATATTAGTTTTCACAGACAGATAGTAGTACTCTCACCTTAAGTTTTAATGATTCCCATGTATTGTAAATGTTTCTGAATAATTTTATAAACTTCTGAATATTATCATGGACACTGTTTTATTGCCTGCTTTTCAATGTGTTGATGTTTTTCTCTTGTTTCTACCTTTCCTTTTTTGTGTTTTATCCTTATACCAGTGACTTATTCTCAAGCAATAGGTTTGCAGTTTACTGTAATTCTACATTATTGCTTGTCTTCTGCAGTTCATTCCTGTCAAGAAAATGTGTTAAATAGGAAAACTGTCCAGTATGTTCCCAAATTGATTTTACTTAGATATGTGGTAATTATAAATCTTTACATTTATATATAAATAGAAGATTAAAGAGGTACATGTTTCAATTTCAATATGGACCAGTACATATGTATTTTTCAGTGTGTGAGATAACTGTATAACTAGACTGAAAAAAACTGTATCTTTTTGAATTTATATTTAAAGTAGAAATCTCATTTTTAAAAGAATGATTCTCTTCTCAAAGATAATTTATAAAAGTAATTTTTGTCCATTTTGTCAACCTCCTCAGATTGCCTTAATAAAAAAAGTGAATGCTAATAACTGCATTAGGTTGGGGGATAAAAGATAACTGAGTCCAGATTGTGTTTGTGATGCCAGCACAGATGTAATTACTTGGAGTTTCTTGGTGAATTAATCCTTACTACTGGGTGTTAAAAGAATTGTCCATAATAAGCATGTTTGATAGCCTTCAATAGTTTCAGCAAAATAAATGGCCCAGGCTTTTAAGCCAATTTCAATATAACGCTCGCTCACAGAGATCTCCTAATTCCTGAGGCCTGCATTTCACCTTTCTCAATATTAATATGATTCCAGCTCAAACAAAAAAAATCTTTAGAAGCCAGTTACTGTTATGTCACTGAGGAGGCTAAGCAATCAATCACAGATAGTGTACCAGGATACAGAATGCACCACTGTTTAATCATTTGCTGACATCAAAATAAAAATTGGCTCAAATGCCCCAATAAAGATAGAAACTTGTATACCATAAACATACTTTAAAGAAGACATTTTTAAATGTAAAAATTTTGGAATATTTATAATAGTGGAGAAATTCATATTCTATAAATACAAAATCAGTTTTTAAGGGAAGAATCACTCAGCAGTAATTATAGCTTAGTGCACTGCTAAGATCCTAATTGAACATCATTCAAAGAGCTGTGACTTCTTTTGGGAGATTGGATTTACAGCAAGAATACAGTATTAAAAATATAGAAGTTCAGACTAACTCAAGAAATTTTTGAAGATATATGTCAGTGAGGATTTAAACTATGCATTCTGCAGAATATCAAGGAATCACTGATATCAGTTTCTGGATTTCCAATTTAACTACTGGTGGGATATCAGAGGTTTCCGTCAACTTCATAGTCAACGTCAGAGGGTCATAGATTCATACTGCATGACCCTCAGGTCCAACCAAACCGTGCCAAACATTATTCCAAACTAAATGAGTCTCACCTGCCTGCTCTTGGCCCATATCCCTCCAAACATTTATTATTCATATATTTTCCCCTCATGCCTTTTTAAAATCTTTCTCCTCTTACCTTAAAGAATACCCCCTAGTCTTGAAATCCCCCACTCTGTGGAAAAGACACCTGCCATTCACCTTATCTATACCCGTCATGGTTTTACAAACCTCTATAAGGTCACCATTCAACCTCCTACGCTCCAGTGAAAAAAGTACCAGTCTATCCAGCCTCTCCTTATAACTCAAATCCTCCATTCCTGGCAACATCCTGGTGAATCTTTTCTGAACCCACTCCAGGTTAATAATGTCCTTCCTAAAACAGGGCGACCAGAACTGGACACAGTGCTCCAGAAAATGTCTCACTAACTTCTTGTACAACCTCAATATAACGTCCTAACTCCTATACTGAAAGGTCTGAGCGATGAAGGCAAGCATACTCAATGCCTTCTTAACCACCCTGTCTACCTGTGACTGCAATGACAGTCACTGCTGATTGCTTTGCCATCTCTGCTATGCACAACATTTTGGAATAAGTTAATTTTAGAAATGAAACCACTAATCATTCCTGTGAAATTGGAGTTTTATTTTGGGGGAAAAACCCACAATTCAATCAATAATCCACTTCTAAGGTGAATAAAACTAGGATGTAGTTGGTGAATAAGAGATCTTTCCGACACAGATGAGGAGAATTTCTTTTTCTTAAAGGGTCACAGGAGTGTGAAATTCTCTTCCACAGAAGAAAATAGAGGCTAGCTTTTTAAAATTTATTCAAGCCTTACTTTGATAGATTTTGACAGGAAAGGAGTTGGATGTTATGGGGTGCAGTCAGAAGAATGGAGTTTAGACTAGTACCAGATCAGCAATGGTTTTATTGAATGGTGGATCATGCTTGAATGGCTAAATAGCCTACTCCTGTTCTTATTTTTCTATGCTCCTATAATTTATTATGTAATTCTTTGAAAAAATCTTATTTTGTTGTAAAATGCAGAGCAGAAGAGCTATTCTGTTGCTTTGCTTCAATTAACACTTTTCCCCTTATGGGGCCCTGTGCAATGTTCAGTTATGGAGAAAGAGTTCATTCTATATAATGTGCAATGGAGGAAATGTAAAGGGATTTTAGGATTTGGCAACACAAGTTCTGCTGTCAATAAGAAGATAAATCTGCAATTCAGTAGAAAGTGAAAATTGCTGCATGTCATACTGTGGAATCATGCTGTACTTACTAGTTACTGGAGTAGCATTCAGTTATTTTATAGAATGATGAAACAAAATTTGTATTTATACAGAGGAATATGAAGTGATACATGAACTTTGTGTGGTATCCAATGTCAGAGCTTGTTTTACAATGTTACAGTATTAATTATATTTTATCTTTATTAAAATACAGTCAATAGCATCAAGAACGTACAGCTCAATGTAACCAGTCCAGTCAAGATGCTGAGTGGAAAAACACTTGTAATCAAGTGCACAGTGACAGCAAAACTGAATTCAAGAGTTGAAATTGTTTGGGATTTCCCTGGCAAAGTAAGTTTCTTAAGCAGGACATATACTTCAAAGGCATTGAAAGAAACAGTCTAGTTGATAATTCAGCCTTTGTTTTTGGATGTCTCTTTTGCCCGTCAGAATTACCAGGAAATGTTGAAAGACGTTGTACTTAAAGATCAAAAGTATGATTGAATAATTTAGATTGGCAGAGAGCCAGGAAACTGAAAAGATATTGCAATCCCTTTAATTTCACTTTTAAAAACTTTTACACAGTGACAATTCTCCACAGCTTTAAAAAAAAACCTTAACCAACATATATAAAGTAATTTTAGATCATTTAAATGAAGAGAAAGAAAGATCCATGTTTGCACATCTCTATTGTTATGGACCAGACCAGATCTCCTCAAAACCTCAAGGAGATAGCCTAGATCCTAACAGCCATCTTATTTAGAGGCAAATGTAAGGCACTGCATTCCAGATGTGATTTGATTTGTCAAACTACTAGGCTTTAAGCAAAACACACTTTATTTCTTACACAACAGATAAAATACAAACAAAAAAAGAATTGGCATAAGTTTAACTCTATTGAAATATTTAAAAATTAGTTAAATATTACTGAACAACTGCTCCAATAAATCAGCATGGCATAAACCTTGGCAAAGGCAAAATTAGTAAAATAGATTTCCCTCACTTGCTTCAGAGATAGTAGGAACTGCAGATGCTGGAGAATCTGAGATAACAAGATGTAGAGCTGGATGAACACAGCAGGCTGAGCAGCATCAGAGGAGCAGGAAAGCTGATGTTTTGGGTCTAGACCCTTCTTCTGAAATTGACATGCAGAACATTATGAAATACTCCATAGGAAAAACGTATCGTGTTATGTACCCCTGCGTGTAGCAAATTGCATTTTTTGTACTCTGGAAAAATCTGCAGCTCTAGGCCCGAAACATCAGCCTTCCTGCTCCTCTGATGCTGCTTGGCCTGCTGTGTTCATCCAGCTCTACACCTTGTTATTCCTCACTTGCTGTCTTCTTCAGTCCAGGAGAAGAAACACCGACAGAAAGAATCTAGCAGCAGAGAGAGAACACAGGCTTTTGCAGCAACAGAGAGACTGTAACTAGCAGCTTCAACTCCAAAACCCCAACTTCTACAGTTAAAATCAAAATGTAAAACCTGGCTCTGTGTGAGCCCGACTCCACCCATTCATACTTCTTTTGTCTACTTTTCAAAATACCTAAAGTTATTTACTCTGCTTTCCACCGGGCAGACACCATGGCACTAGATTTACGATACCTGTCTTCAAGAGAACCAGGACAGACAAATCCATCTTAAAGACACATCATCATACTATTATTATTCAGTATAAGCTAGAAATGCTTTATTCTTATCCTTTTCAATAGGAAACTTATTATTTTAAGTGCAAACTTTTAAAACCGAGTTCAACTTCCAGACACACAATCAGAACATATGTAAATGTTTAGGAATTTTAAATTCTGCTTTATAGTCCTTGCTTTAGAATAAAGACCTAACCAATTGCTGAAAATCTTCCTTGTACTTGGCATTGAGCACATTATTTTGTAATGATCGTTAGGTATACACACTCCAACACTGGACACATTTTAGGAATGTTATTAAGGTGTCATTAATTACCTTCTAATTGATAAAATGTCAAGAAAGTACATATTTTTGCTGTAAAAAAATTAGGGAAGCATTATTCATACCTTTATTACTGAAATGAAAAGCTGCATAATGAATAGTTAACATCACAAATAGGCTTTCTGGTTAATTGTGTATAAAACATGCTTCAAGAAATATTTTTCTAATTTTGTTTTCATTTTAGCAATTAGTTTGTGTGCAAATCATCACAAATTGCCTAATTCAAACGTGAAATTCATATTTTCTCCTTTTCCTTCCTGCTGAAATTGACACGCAGAACATTTTGAAATACTCCACAGGAAAAACATTTCGTGTTATGTACCCCTGCATGTAGCAAATTGCATTTTTTGTGCTCTGGAAAAATCTGCAGCTCATGAAATGTATATTTAATCAAACAAAGTATGTATTAGATCAAAAGCACTACACTACATTACCCTGTATTACAAAGGAAATGTCCCTTCAAATATGCAAGTAATTTGAAAAAGATCTTTTAGTTCTTTAGGAACAATGCTACACTCCTCTAGTTTGTTGCTTGGTCCTCTGTATGCAAATAATCTATTGTTGTCTTTAATGCTGCTGGATAACAATTGTATCTGATCTGTAGTAATAATGACTTTTCTGGGAAATAGTACTGGTTGCATCTCATCTGATAATTAACATTTTGTTACAATGGGAATTGACAGTTATAATCTAGATTCTACACCATCTGTTCTATATATCGTTGCAATTATTCTCTTTAAAGTGCAGTTAGTTAAGGGAAAATAGGATTACTCATTGATTTTTCTTTTCATTGTGGGATCTGGACATTCAACCTTGGGCTGATAAGCAGCAAATAACATTTCCATCACACCAGTCCCGAACAATGACCATCTTCAACTGGAAATAATCTAACATCTTCACTTGATGTTTAATTACATTATCACCATCAACATCCTGTTGATTATCTTTATCCAGAAACCTGTCCAGATCAGCTACATAAATGCTGTGGCAACAAGAGCAAGCTAGTGTTTAGAAATTCTGCAGTGAATACCTCTTCTTCTGACTCCCCAAGTCTCTCCATCATCTGCAAGGCACAACTCAGGAGTGTGATGAAATACTTTGATTTGCTTTGTTGCAGGCAGCTTCAGTAAAACTCATAAAGCTTGATACCATCTCAAACAAGGCTGTCCACTTTATCAGCACCTCATCCCAATCCTTACTAACATAAGAATTAGGAGCAGGAGCGGGAGCAGTTCATTCAGAGCCTACTGCACCATTCAATAAGACCATGCATGATCTGAACCCTCCACCTTCCCATCTACTTGCAGCAATCTTTCTCCCCCTTGCTAACCAAGAATCTAACTACCTCTACCTTAAAAATACCCAAACTCTTGCTTCCACTATCTTCTAAAGAAGAAAATTCCAAAAACTCTTCAAGAAAACTTCTCCTTATCTCTGTCTTAAATGGGCTAACCCTTACAGTGAGCCCTAATTTCAGATTCTCCCAGAACAGGAATCATCCTCTCTACATCCGCCCTATCGAAACCCTTCAGGATTTGATATGCTTCAATCAGGTTGCTGCTTACATTTCTAAAGTCCAAAGGATACAAGCCCCTTCTGTCCAACATTTCCTCATCAAACAACCTACCTATTTCAGGTATATTTACCAAGTATTAGACTGGTTTAAAAAGAAAACAAAAACAGAAGTTGTTGGAAAAGCCCAGCAGGTCTGGCAGCATCTGTGAAGAAAAATCAGAGTTAATGTTTCGGGTCCTGTGACCCTTCCTTGGAAAGGTAGTCTGGTAAACCTTTCTAATCTGTTTCCAGCAGTTAAATAAGGTGACCAATACTATACACAGTACTCTTATCTCACAGTCTCACCAATGCCCTGTATAACTGAAGCATAATTCCCATACTTCTGTATTCAACTCTGCTTGCAACCAATAATAACATTCTGTTGGCTTTCCTAATTACTTGGTGTACCTGTATACTGACCTTTTGTGATTCATGCATAAGAACACTCAGATCCCTCTTCATCTTGGAGCTTTTAAATCTCCAACCATTCAGATTAAATGCATTTTTAAAATTCTTTTTTGCCAAAATGGAAAATTTCACATTTTCTGCATAATACTCCATTTATACTGACATTGCATCTCTATTGACTACCCCTTACCCTAATTTGCCAGTTCATTTTAGCTATCTCTGTTTTCATCTCCACATAATTACCCAAATTTGTTTAAAACACTAGCCTTAGACCCACTCTCTGTCCCTCAGATTTAATGCAGAGTTCAATCATATTATGCTACTACCTAGGGGTGCTTTCCTAACGAGATAATGAATTAAACCTCTCTAATCGAATACTACCAGATATCACAATGCCTGCTGTGTGGCTGGCTACACAAAGTGGTGTGTTCAGAAACTATCCTGAAAACTTTCTATGAATTTCTCATCTAGATTTCTTTTGCCCATCTGATGTTTCCAGTTCATATGTTGAATATAACCCATCATGATTATTACCATTCCTTTACCGTAAGATGTAAGGGCAAATGTAGGCCATTTGGCCCATTGAGTCTACTCCACCATTCAATGATAAATTGGCTGAATTTATAATCCTTAACTCCACTTTCCTGCCTTTTCCCCATAACCCTTGACTCCCTTACTGATTAAAAATCTGTCTGTCTCAGCCCTAAATATATTTAACAACCCAGCTTCTACAGTCCTCTGCAATAAAGAATTCCACAGGATCACTACCCTCTGAAATAAGAAGATCCTCCTCAACTCTGTCTTAAATGGGTAATCCTTTACTCTTAGATTATGTCCTCCAGTCCTAGACTCTCCCACAAGGGTCAACAATCTCTCAGCATCTACATTGTCAAGTGCTCTAAAAATCTTGTATGTTTCAATAAAGTCACGTCTCATTCTTCTAAACTCCAATGAGTACAGGCCCACCTATCCTACTCCTCCTCATAAAACAGTACCCTTCATACCCAATATCAGCCTAATAAACCTTTGCTGAACTGTCTCCAATACCATTATATCTTACCTTAGATAACGGGCCCAAAACTGTTCACAGTATTCCAACTGTGGTCTACACAGTGCCTGGTATGATTTGATTTCCTTATCTATACATTCCATTCTCTTTGAAATAAAGATCCCATTATTCTTTCTTTGCACCCCATTCTACCACGTAATTACTGTTGGAGGGCCTGTAAATCACTTCCACAAGTGACTTCTTGCCTTAGTTGTTTTACATCTCTACCCCAATCATTACACATTCTGGTTTCCTGAACTTGAATCATCTTAATTAATACAGTCATTTCTGTATGTTTTCCTCACTGCCAGACCTTCCTAAATGTCATGTATCTTTTTAATATTCAGGACCTAATCTTGTATCATCCTGCAACCATGTCTGGCTAATGGCTGTCAGATTATATCTTTTCTATTTATGCTATTAATTCATCTGTTTCAAATGTTATGTACATTCAGGTACAGAACCTTTTAGTTTTCTCCTTTTATTATTTTTGTAACCTCTATCATTACCTGTTGATCTGCTCTTCAATTTATATGCTATCACTTCTCTTACAGTCTATTAATCATTTTCCATAGTAGTGCATTTCCATCTTGCCATGTTTCTATTCTATGATAAGATGTACCTTCCCAAATTTGTTTCCTTGCTACCGCTATTTAATTTAAAATTCTCTACTTTCCTAGCCATGTGACTCACGAGAACACTGGTGTCCACGTGGCTCAGGAGTAAACCAATACTATGGTACAGATCCTAACTTACCTAGTATGGTGCCATCGTCCCTTGAACCAAAACCCACTTCTACATACCAGTCTTTTACTGATGCATTCATTTCTCTAATCTTATTTGACCAATGCCAAGTTGCATATGGCTCTGGATAATCTCAGGATTATTGCCTTTGAGATTCTGCTTCTCAGTTTGGTGCATGGCTCCTCATATTAACTCTACAGACCCTCTCTTTGTCCTGTCCACATTATTAGTACCTACATATACCACAATGACTTCATGCACATCATAAGATTTTTGCCAGCTCTGAGCAAATGTCCTAAACCTTGGCACTGGGCAGGCAACACTTTCTTTTTGCATTTGAAATATTTGCTGCATTCAACAAAGGAGCGCAGTGGCGGCAAAGTATCGTCTATAAGTCACACTGTAGCAGATCGCAAGTTTCCAAATCTGGGACCCCTACCCCTTAGTATGGGATTGTCATTGCAAATTCCCCTGCAAGACACCCGCTATCCTAAATTGGAATTATATTGCAGTTCTCTCATTCTCACTAGGTTAAAATCTTTGAAATCCTTCACAAATAGCTCCCTAGTATATACACATCACACTGCAACAATCTAAGCAAGTTCACCAGAATGATCTATCAAGTGCAATTCGGGATGAATAGTAAGTGCTGATCATGTCAGTGACATTCATTTTCCATGACTGGAAATAATACAAAATTTGCATAGTCTTACTTGATGACTCAGTTCAGAAATGTGTGGCAAAGTATGAGACCAAATTGTATGTTGGATCAATGGAAAATGCTCAGTTATCTGTCCTCAGGCAAGCATTAATGAAAATATTGCAATTATCTTCAACTCAAATTAAGACAGTGAAAAGTCCAATTTACTATTTCTGAACCCTAACCAGTCAGCATTGCAATTAGCATTAACGAGTATGATGGAGGAATTGGGCCAGCACTTATGCCTAGCCCCATTGACAATTATTGTAAAAGATAAATGAAATGACATCACTGACTGAAATTACAATTTTAACTACTTCTGTTTCTTTCAGGAAAATAGAAATGCATCTATAACCACTAGAATTGACCAGACAGACCCTAGAATAAATACATTTTACAGCACATTTGTTATAGACAACGTGTTTACATCTGACAGGGGAAACTACATATGTCAAGTGAAAAGTGGGGAAACTATGAAAAAAAGGAAAGCAACAGTTAATGTTTATGGTAAGAAATAGTAAAATAAAATCAGCATTCTATGTAAAAATATTCATTTATCCATTAGTCATAGAAATCTTTCCTGCAACCTCTTGTACTCTAAATGCGATGTGCAAGTAAAGGTGTTATGCAGGCCAGAAAACAAGATGTTTGCAAACCTGCCAGGTATGTTTCCTTGCTGATGTTTGATGTACACAAGACAGTGTAACGTTCAATCCCAAGAGCTTTTGGAAGGAAACCTTTCCATTTTGTGGTTTTAAATTAATTCTAGAGACTATTTAGATTAGATTTAGCCTGATTGAATGTATTATATATTTCCAAGTCAAATATGCTAATTATTTACTTCACATTATTAAGGCAATTTTTAATGTAATAGAAAACAAGCAAATTTTCCATCAAAATAAATGGATGTGAAATTCTGCTCCCTGATGGCATGAATTTCTAAAACCTTTAAGTACCTATAATGTAAAGATAATAATTTACAATTAAACAATGACAAAGTTCATATATTAGTTTGATATGAATAGGTTTTATTTGCTTTTATTTAATAATGTGACTTATGATATTGAAATACCTCACAGATCTTCACAGTCAATATAATTACTATCATTTTATAGAGCAGCCAATTTGTAGACCACAAGATTCTGCAAATATCATTCATACAAATGTGCAGTCAATCTATTTTGGCTTGTGCTTGTTGAAGGATAAAAGCTATTCAAGTTGCTAAGAGAAACACTCACCTCTTATTTGGATGGCATCATGTGACTGTATTGTTGCCTGGACAAACAGACAACTTTTCTGATTTAATGATAGAGAGTTTTCATGGAGCATCCAAAAGGTGACATATCAGGAAGGGAGGCTCTCATTCAAAAGTAAGTTGTTTTTTAGGCATTCTATATTCCAGAAAAGAAGTTTAAATAATAGGAAGAGCCGAAGGAGCTGTAGTACTATTTTTGACACGATACCACACGTATGATGTGAGATAATGCATGTTAATGCAATATTGCAACTGGTAAATATTTTTAATGTATTTAAAAATGTAGACTTTGCATTTTTGGTACAGATAATGATCCCTATTTAATTAACAAACCATTTTACTATTTTATCGTTATTTTATGAAACTGTTACCTTAACAAATTCACATGGTTCTAGTCTCTGTTCTGAAGTAACAAATTCTCAAGTATACTTCAAGGTTTACAGATATCCTGCCATGTAATTTCAATGCACACATAAACCCAACATTTCTTTTGCTTGCATTTTTGTGTTAAATTGATTGCAGGAGAATCTGAAATCCATGTTACCAGCATTTTGTAATACATGAATATAGGATTGTCATCATTACACATCATAAATCATGTAAATTACTTCAAAAAGAAACTATTACTATCACTAAAAATGTTTGCATTCCTTGTTTATTCTTCTCCAAATAGCAAAACCATTTATTAATGCCAGATGCCGGAAATCATGTATTGCGGATGTCCTTGCTGGGCAGGGGGCCTATCGTTTTCCAGTAAAAGTCAAAGCATTTCCACCACCAGAGATTTTATGGTAAGATTAAAGTTAACAAACTAATTTGGAAACTGACCACAAGAAATATTGCCTAAAGAGTTATCTGTCTTTACATGACTTCACCACTGAATCAGGAATGGGGAATGGGGGCAAAACAGTTTGTAAGAATTGAAGGCCTGTAATTCACAATGGATAACTATTTATTTAGTGGATTGCAATGCAAAATCTTAAACTTACTCATGCCAAGCGTGGGTGGGAAATTTCTGACAGCTAAATACAGGGTCTGTGCTTTGCATTCTTGTTTCGGTAGTGGTGTGTTACAGTTCAGTTACAGTCAATGTTGCTCTGACAACATGCATTGTACATTCATCATGTTCTCTGAAGCTGCGGGTAATGATAGTGGAGGCTCCATCACACAAATGACCAGGCCATGTTATGAATGTTCCTGGGCTGGGTGTCAAACCCAATCCTCCTGGCTCAGAGAGAAAGAGTGTTACCCTCTTCCTCTTCATATTACTGCCTAATATTTTACTATTTTGAATCATTTTGAGAAGACACAAGAAAAGTGTTTGAGGGTAGTGGCACAAAATTATGAGTACTTAAATACAAACAAAATTTGCTTTATTGTTTTTAGAATCTAATTAGTATTTAATATCTGCTGAAACTAAGATTAAATTAAGATCCTCTACCAAAGATAGGAAAAGATGCATTGAAAGAGTACAGTGTACTGTATTCATTATATTGGAGCTAAGGAAAATATGCCAGAAGACCCTCGAAATGTTTTAATCTCAACTTTCTGCAACAAAATGCTCTTGTGTCTGCATGGGTTTCCACCAGGTGCTCCAGTTTCCTCCCACAGTCCAAAGATGTACAGGTTAGATGAATTGGCCATGCTAAAAATTGCCCCGTAGTATCCAGGGATATCCAGGTTAGGTGGATTAGCCATAGGAAAAACCCTATGCTGTGTTATAGTGATGGGGTGCGGTAATAGGTCTGGGTGGGACACTTTTTGGAGAATTGAAGTGGACTCAATGGCCTGAATGGCTTCATTCTGAACTATAGAGATTCTATGATTCTACATGTGGTTTAACATACTAATTAGTGTACTACTGTATATGTACACACTTTGTTATACATTATCAGGAAACAATGTAAGTTAGGATGTGATATATTAGTTGGAACACTGTTGATCTACAACTAACACATATATAAAGAGCTGTCCTGCAATTCTGTTATTATTCAATAAAGAACCCCTTATTTAGTTTATCAGTCATTCTTGGTGCATTTATTTGTGTTAAGAAGCAATATCACAACAATCCCCACATCCCTCGATTCCACTAGCACCCAAAATCTATTGATCTTTCTTTAATATAGTCAACAATTCAGCAACTGCAACTCTCCAGGATAGGTAATTCCAAAGATTACCAACATTTTCCACGACTGTTTATACTCATCTCATTCTCAAATGGTCAACGCCTTGTTCAGAGTCTGTGATCCCTAGTTCATGATGTCCCAGATAGAAGAACCAGCTCCTGCCAAACCAGTAAGAATTTTACCCATTTTAATGAAATTCATTTTTATTTGGGTTTGGTTTTTTTGTTCTTTAATGGGAAATGGACATTTCTGGCAAGGCCAGTTTTTGTTTCCCATTGCTAATTGCCCTTGAGTTGAATGGTTTACTAGGCTAATTCAGAGAATATTTATGAGCCAATCACATTGCTGTAGATCTGGAATCACAAGTAGGTCAGACCAGGAAGGATGACAGATTGCCCTCTGTGAAGAACGTTAGTGAACCAAGTGGGGTTTACAACAATCAGCATTACTGAGATTAGCTTTCGATTTCAGATTTATTAATTGAGTCTAAATTCCACCAGCTGCCATGTGGGATTTGAACCAATATCCCTTGAGAATTACCCAGGGCCTCTGGATTACTAGTTCAGTTTAGTACCGAAATGTCACTGTCTCCCCGTGATAACATGTCACCTGGAATTCTACCAGTTAAACTATATGAATTTGTGTTAAATGCTGGGAGTGGGTTTGAAACTGGGAAAGTTAGTCAGAAATTTGGATTAAAGTTTTAATATCAGACTGTGGGAAAGTACTGAGCAGGATGATTGAAGATTTTGTGTTAAGATCAGTACTGTTTGCAATTTATAAAAGTGAGATAGAGTTTAAAGTAGTTGAATTTTCTTATGACATCAAACTCTGAAATGCTTTGGAGATATCTAGAAATTACTGAATAACAATGATTTTGCAAGCAAATCTCACAATTTGTTAATCATGTGATCCTGTTGCTTTACTTGCGAGTATTCAATCTAAATATACCAGTCAGTAGAACAATAGGTGACTAAATTTAATGCAGAAACTGTGATGTGTTACACATAGGAGGAAAAATTGGATGTCATGCAATCTTTGTGACTGGCATCTGAATAGTTAGTTAAGAATAGTTAATAATGAAAACAAGACTCAAAATGTTAGCTTGCTTTCTCTCCATTGCTGCCTCACCCGCTATGATTCCCAGCACTTTTTATTTTCAGTACAGATTCCAGCATCTGCAGTAATTTGCTCCAAGGTAGTTAATGAAGTCCATGTGCTATGGCATTGTGGGTCTACCATTATCTTTTCAATGGCAACTAAGGACAGGCAGTAATTGATGGCCCCGTGAGTAACACCCACATTTCATGAATGAATTTTTCAAAAAATTGAAAGAAGCCTCTGAGTCATAGTAGACTTGAAAATATCTAACCAATGCTCATCTGTAATAAAAAAAGGCAGTGAAAAGTTTAACTATTTCAACAAAGCAGTAGAGCACAAATTAGAGGAAACAATGAGCAAAGTTGATAGGTTCTGCTCAGACTGCTAGTTGAACATTGTATCCTGTTTTTTACCATCAAGAAACAGACCTTCAAGCACTAGAGACAGTGCAGAGAAGAGTGCAGTATTAAGAAACAGACTTCTGAAGGAAGACTGGAAAAACTAGTGCTTTTAAGTCTAGAAACAACAATCTAAGATTTGGACTTATGAAAGTAATATGTTATTGAGAATTTTAGAAAAATGATTAGCCTGAGTGGCACAGTGGTTAGCACTGCTGCTTCACGATGCCTAGGAGACCTGGGTTCAATTTTGCCCTCACGTGGCTGTTTGTGTGGAGGTTGCACAATGTCCCTGTGTCTGTGTGCATTTCCTCCAGGTGCTCCGGTCTCCTCTTGCAGTCCAAAGTTGTGCAGGTTAGGTGGATTGGCCATGGGAAATACAGGATTACAGGGATGGGGAGGATCTGGGTGGGATTTTCTTCAGTGGGTCGGTGTGACTTGATGGGGCGAATGGCCTGCTTCCACACTGTAGAGATTCTATGGAATATTTTAAATTAATTTATTTACCTATATAAATGAAATGAAATTAAATTAAAAATTTAGAACTGGGATGAATGAAAGATTCAGACAAGTAAATCGTTGTTTAAAAGAAGGAAAAATGTCTTTAAGCAGAGTGATCAAGTTGTAGAATCAACTTCAAATACCCTAGAAGCGTTTAAGCAACAATTTGATGCTTCAATTGGTGTGAGTTAGGATCTCTATACAGGTGAACGAAGTAAAACTGATTAGTCCTCCTGGTATGTAACAATTTTGTAAATTAAAAATCTACCAAAGTGGATGAAAAATTGTAGATTATACCCCTTGCCTCACTATATCAGGGTAAAGAATAACAGAACTCCAGAGGCAGAAGATTGGAGCTGTGATTCGGGGTCTGAGGTTTCTAAACAAGGTAACATGAAGCAGGACAGTAAATCCAAAAAAAGAGCAAAGATTGTGAATTTAGTATGTGCAGTTTGTCTAGATTAGTGAGGCTAGGTCAGTAGGAACATACAAGCAGAAGTAGACCATTCCACCCCTCTTGCCTTCTTTACCATTCTAGATAATGGCTGATCATCTACCTCAATGTCAGATTCCTGTGCTATCCTCATATTTCTTGATGTCATTTGCAAATAGAAATCTAACAATGTCTTTCTTGAGTTTAACTTAATGCCTGAGCTTTCACAACCCTTTATTGTAGGGTATTTCAAAGACCCACAATTATTTGAGTGCAGAGGTGCCTGCTCATCCCAATCCTAAATGGCTTGCCTTTTATTTTGAGACTGTATGCACTGTTCTGGACCCCCTCGGCCAAGGGAAGCATCTTTTCTACATATACTCTGTCTGTTCCTTTTTAGAATTCTGTGTATTTCCATGTGATCAACCCTCATTCAACTGAACTTCAGAAAACATAGGCCCAGTTTTCAACTCTCCTCATGAGACAGTTCCATCATCACAGAAATTAGTTTGGTGATCCTTGTCTACAATCCCCCTATAGCATCTATATCCTTCTTTCGGCAAGCAGTGAAGAACTGCTCACAGCACTCTAGGTACGGTCAAACTAAAGTTCCATGCAAATGAAGCAAGACTTCTTTGCTCCTGTATTCAAATCATTTTACAGTAATGACTAACATACCATTTGTATTCTGAATTGGTTGCTGCATCTGCATACCAGTTTTCAGTGACTTTTGAACAAGGACACCTGGTTTCCCTTAGATTTTAACACTTTCCAATCTCTCACCATTTAAGAATCATTGTGCTCTTCTGTTCCCCCTGCCAAATTGGATGAAAAATGGCAGAGCAGGCTTGATTGGCGAAATAACCACTCCTGCTCCTGTTTTCTGTTTTTCTGTTCCTATAACCTCACAATTATCTACAATACATTCCATCTGCTCATTCACTCAGCCTGTCTCAATTTCTTTGAAGCTTTTTTGCATTCTCCTCACAACTCACCTTCTCACCAAGTTTTGTATTGCCTGTAAACTTGTAAAGATTACAATTGGTCTGCACATCCAAATTATTGACACAGATTGTGAACAGCAGGGACCCAAACACATTAGTTTGCTTGGACTTATCTCACTTTACCCAGCAATCTTAAGCCGTTCTCGCACAATCCTTTTCCCAGCTTCATGTTCATTTCCTCACGGGGAGAATTAGTGAGGTCCAACTTTTCAGCCTCTTGCTTCACAC